CGGGGCACTTTAAGCGTCAGAGACGTCAGTTGTCGCGTGTAAAACATCACGGTGAAACGGCAAACACGCAATAATCATTTGTATCCGTGTATTAGAACTGTCAGATCCATAATGACGTAACATCAATCTTCTATATATTACTTTGTATACATTAGAATGAAAGTATCGTAACTATGACAACAATGTATCTGATGTGCGTGTCACTCGGCTGGAGATCCTCCAATCATCTCTGACACCGTCCTTCCTTCTGGAGGGTGACAACGTCCGTTCCCTATGGTCCCTGTGTGTTGTAAAGTAGTCACCGCTCCAAGCTCCGCCCAGCCGCCCCCCGAGGAGCGGTGACAACTTTACAACGATTGCATCTGCATCTATAAGTCTCTGACCTTCCCTTGTAGCATGCCTGCAGTCTCTGACCATCTCTTGTAGCATGTCTGTAGTCTCTGACCATCTCTTGTAGCATGTCTGCAGTCTCTGACCTTCCCTTGTAGCATGCCTGCAGTCTCTGACCTTCCCTTGTAGCATGCCTGCAGTCTCTGACCTTCCCTTGTAGCATGCCTGCAGTCTCTGACCATCTCTTGTAGCATGCCTGCAGTCTCTGACCTTCCCCTGTAGCATGCCTGCAGTCTCTGACCATCTCCTGTAGCATGCCTGTGTTTGCTGACTATCTTCCGATCATCTCTGACACCGTCCTTCCTTCTTCTTTGTTCAGGCACTTCCTGTTATAGGGTGACAACGCTCTGTCCTTGTTCAGACACATCCTGTTATAGGGTGACAACACTCTGTCCTAGTACAAACACTTACTGTTATAGGTTGATAAGCTCTCTTTGGTCAGACACTTGTTTAAATTGTCCTCCAGTGTTGTCACCCTATAACATCGACTTCTGATGGAGACTACAAGTAGCTGTTACAGCACACACGCTACACAGACATGGTTCACTGTTGTCACCATCAGGACAACCTCCCCTCCCCCCGTAGAAATGTTATACAGCCATCACTGGAGTGAACTTAAGAAGTGACTGCAAAGAGGCTGCAGGGGATCGGCAGCATTGACATGGAAGAAACAATGGGAAATATAATGTATATAATACGCAGAGCAAGCTGGACGTCAGCCGGGGAGGTGTGATATTTATTATAGAGATGTATACATAGTCGCTGGGGGCGGGGACTGTACGGAGAGTGCGTTATATACATACCTGTAATACATCTTCCCAGGCAGTTCCAGCTCCTGACCACTAGGTGTCCCCATTTTTTTTTTTTGGGTGGAGTGCCCCTTTAAGTTGCCATTCCTCTATGATCAGTCAGTGCGCGCGCACGCAGGAGGCCAGCCTCCACAGACACCTCTTCAGAGACTCCTGCAGGGATCTGCTCAGTTCTGTTGGGCGTCCGGCTTTGGGCGGAGTAATGGAAGATGCTCTGCGCTTGGCACGGCGCCCCCCCGGCATCGGGCCGGCACCGCGGGCCTGGCGCTGCTTGGCCTCCATCTGCTGCTCCTTTACACAGTTGGTCAGACGGGTCCTCAGGAGGCTCCTGGACATGGGGGTTCTGGCGGCGGCCCGGGAGGAGGCGGAGCTTGCCCCGGTAGGGTCCCCGCTGAGGCAGATGCACACTCCGGTCTCGCAGTCTATCAGGAAGGTGTGGTGGGCAGCGGCCATGTCACGCTGGCTGGAGGAGCCGTCACAGTGATCGCAGTCTACAAAACAATCGTATAGAGACCAGTCATAGTCATGCTTCCAATAGAGGACCCCAAAGGGGGCCCCCAACATCATCCAATGGCCACACATCATATTCACTGAATGTAATGCTACAGAAAGCTGTCAGAGACTTCAGACATAGTACAGGAGATAGTCAGCAACCACAGGCATGCTACAAGAGATGGTCAGAGACTACAGGCATGTTACAAGAGATGGTCAGATACTTCAGACATAGTACAGGAGATAGTCAGCAACCACAGGCATGCTACAAGAGATGGTCAGAGACTGCAGGCATACTACAAGGGATGGTCAGAGACTACATGCATGCTACCAGAGATGGTCAGAGAGTGCAGACATGCTACCAGAGATGGTCAGAGACTTCAAGCATACTATAAGCAATGGTAAGAGACTGCAGGCATGATACAAGAGATGGTCAGAGACTGCAGGCATGATACAAGAGATGGTCAGAGACTACAAACACATTACAAGAGATGGTCAGAGACTGCAGGCATACTATAAGAGATGGTCAGAGACTGCAGGCATACTATAAGGGCTGGTCAGAGACTACAGACACATTACAAGAGATGGTCAGAGACTGCAGGCATACTATAAGAGATGATCAGAGACTGCAGGCATGATACAAGGGAAGGTCAGAGACTCCAGGCATACTATAAGGGATGGTCAGAGACTGCAGGCATACTATAAGAGATGGTCAGAGACTACAGACACATTACAAGAGATGGTCAGAGACTGCAGGCATACTATAAGAGATGATCAGAGACTGCAGGCATGATACAAGGGAAGGTCAGAGACTCCAGGCATACTATAAGGGATGGTCAGAGACTGCAGGCATACTATAGGAGATGGTGAGAGACTACAGACACACTACAAGAGATGGTCAGAGACTGCAGGCATACTATAGGAGATGGTCAGAGACTGCAGGCATACTATAAGGGATGGTCAGAGACTACAGGCATGCTACAAGAGATGGTCAGAGACTACAGGCATACTATAAGAGATGGTCAGAGACCTCGGCTATCGCAGCCCCTGCACACATCGATGTTCCTCCCTCAGAAATATCCGGGATAGAAGTTCGGAGAAAAGTGATGGAGAGAGAAAACTAAGGCAGCGTGACAGAGAAACATGAGCCGCGAGAAGCCGGGGGATAGAGCTCAGAGAGACAGAACGGTTGGGCCCGGCAGGTATTTCCTGTACAATCTGCATAATAATAGAGAAATATTCACCCAGAATGAAAACAAAGCCGGAAATGATCAGAAAGAGTCCCCCGTCTATATACAATGTATCCCCCGTCTATATACAATGTATGTCTCTCACCGGGGATGGGTTGCAGGTTGTATTTCCGGCACATCGTCCGCAGTGTCCTCTCGGGGCTCTCAGGGGCCTTTATATGAGGCTGGCGTCCTCCAATCACAGCCTCCCCAGGACAATAGACGGCAGCTGGTCCAGGCCAGACACAGGCGGAGGACTCCTCGCTATCTACAAAGCAACTGAAACATTTGTGTACAGTGACAACAGAGGCCGACACCTCCCATCCCGGGGCCACTCCTCACCTATCACCGCTGTCCATGCATCCCCCTTCTATAGGTGACAACAGAGGCCGACACCTCCCATCCCGGGGCCACTC